CTGTCCAACCACTCGGAAAAATGAAAATTGTACGATGTGTATGCGATGCTTCAATACTATATTCACGTCATACCTATAATACTACCTACCTATATATAGTTGAAATTCGCACACGCACGAATGCGAGCCGTGTATATAATGTTATGGTAATAATAATAATAATATTGTATCTTCGGTGCGCACGATGGATCGAAAACCACCGTTAATTGAAAACGGCTGTGTTGAGATGAACTCGTTAGATAACGGGAAAATTATTATTATACAATGCAACGCATTATTTGCCCGGTTCATGGCTATTATTTAATTATAATATTATATCCGAATGACGTAGCCATGATATTTATTTTGTTACACACAAATAATAATTGTATATACGAGAACGTAGATTGTAATCTCAGTCGACCGGGTAAAAATGTACTATTATAAATTAAGTTAATTGTAGTACATATTATATTTGCAAGTTCACAGCAATTTTCGAAGTAAAACTTCTTACTTGGGGTGTGGTTTAAAAAAAAATCATAACGAAAAATGAAACGACAAGTTTGTTTATTTATTTATTTTCCAAGTCAAGCACTGTGGAGGGGGCGTTTCATATTTATTGTATCTATTGATTTAAGATAGAAACGTCGATAGTGATATCTCAGTAGAATTCGATTGGGTAAAAATGTATCATTATACATTAGGTGAGTTTTGGTATGGATTTGCAAGTTCACAGCAATTTTTTTTGAAGGTTAGTTATCGTCAGTGTTCGCGGACAATCCATGCACCGCATAAAGCGTATTCATAGAATTCTTCAAAAAAGTGTCTTATCGCTATAATATTATCTATTTATTATAACACATCCGAATTTTGGTTGTTCGACAACCGTAGTTGTAATATGCCGAGAGTAACATAATGACCAATTTAGCATCTATGACGCTATTATGACGCTTAAAATTTGATAATTTTCAACAATTGTTAAGCAAGTATATTATTTTAATCCTGTAAAAAAGTGCTGTGCACATACATTGAGATCTTCAACAAAATGCTATGATTATGCACTCAGTAGAGTATGATGTGGAAATGTCCATAGCCGGATGAAACCTTTCCCGTCAAAAAGAAGTTTTAAACATGCAAAATATACATACGACTTTTATAAAAAATGACATAATTGTATTATTTTATCTGTAAAAGCCATAACTGTATATCTCCAACACAAGCTTTTAGCTTACACGTGGTAAGCAATCAAAACTGTGTTTGCTAAACTTGTTAATTTGTAACCGTTTCTTTTGATTTAAATAAAAAATAACCATGAAACACGCATGAAATAATAATAATAATTACTGTTTTGCTTTTTATCATGTATTTTAAATCTTATCAAATAGTTATTGCATTATTTCGCACTTGTCGACCTGAATAATATTATTTTAACAAAATATGATTTATTATGCATTACTTTCTCTCGGCCCAACACTGCGGAATCATATATGATGGATCGCTACCCTTTGCTTTCGGAGACTCTCGCCGTAGTGTATTTTATTTTACACCTAACAATAGTATTGCCAAACTTTATTTCCAACGATATTTGCGATATTTTTAAAATCGACTTTAGAACAATAATATTATACCGTTAAATGATTTACCTAATATATTTTGTGGATTTTCCGCGTGTGTGGTTCTGGAACGAGCGTGTCAAACAGAACAATATATCATTATGTACAAAGTTTAAAATAATAAAAATATAATCAATTCATTCTTTTCCTTGGTGTATATTATTATTAAAAATATACATAATGTTATAATATATTTTATTTATGAGTAAAGTTCCCGCCGTTGTTTTCTCGTCTCGGCATCGTAAAGTTGTGTACGGATATAATGTAACCGAGAGGATGGAAAATTGTATCGTATTATATTATTTGATTCCTCCGTGGTAAACACCTATAATATAATGATTTCGAGACAAAACGATTTCTGGTGATATTTCGAGGGTGGACCGTTTGTCGTGAAATGAAGTCACGGAATGCATTGAAGTTTGGCAAACGGTTCGATCGGAAAATTATATAATATCATTATTTGGGATTAGTGTATCGTGTTATACCTAGTATAATGGTCACACAGATAGATGACACGATATATTTATACGTTTTATTTAACGATTGATGCTTCGGTAGCGGGTGGTGACAGTGAAACAAATATTATTTAAAAATGTGTGTCACGGGGTTTTTTTTATCAAACAATATTATATTTACAATCGTGGTCATCCGTTAATTATTATCATAATGTAATATTATGTGATATAGCATTGTACGATATTGCGTAATAATCTGACATCGAATAGGTAACCCGACTTAGTGGATAGAGTAAAAATAGAGCGATAGAAGGGAAAATTAGATTCATGGAACCACATTTCAACTGTACGATGTTACAAAATTACAATCAATTAGTTGATCCCGAGATCTTCGTTGCCCGTAAGAAATGACAATTCTTAAAAAAATTGTGATTGTTTAACTGCTTTTGGGTAAGTGCTTTAAAGCAGTAAGTGTAACTCAACCACCCTGGTAGGAAATGTGCAAAAATTCGATTTGATGCATGCTTGACGTACCTGATCCGACCGATCAACCAATGGTAACCAATCAAATAATAAATACTATTTTCTACTAATTAAATTATTTCTAATGTAACCAATAGCGACTACGTATAAACAAAAATGTCCATCTTAAGTCTCAAAATCCCTTAATGAGCATCTCCCCGGGTTGGATCTACCGGGTCCAATATTGTGAATCTAAATCATCACGGGAACCGCTCAAACACACACAAACAGTTTCATAAAACCGATCCAGGAATGGACTTAGTAATGCACACAGGATAGACCCCTGGATAGATAGACAATCATTAATTTATATGTAAATAGATAATATAAGAAAAGTGCCAAATACAATTCACTCACTCACTGATAAATACATCTCAAAAACTTGTAAAATGAAATAGTTGTTCCTGAATTATCTAGATGTGCAATAAGGAAGGATTTTTCGAAATAATCATTTTAAAGAGGTGCTCAAAAAGGGAGTTTTAGATTCAAGGTGGAAATCGGAACTTTTTTTCTTTGCTCGTAATTGGTTGCCATTGGTTGCAGATTATAATAATAGTAGTAGAAATGAGTATTATATTTTATAATATAAATGGTTGCCGTTGGTTACTCGGACAGATCAGGTACAAGCGCGCAATCATCGCGTTTACATCATGATGGCTTCGATCAAAGAAACTATATTACATTTAACCAAATGCAAGTGTGTGTATAGCTCGTATAAAATCAAAAACTACTTGAACTTTACGAAAATCTCAGAGATCGGTTTTAGAGATATCGGAAAGTTTATGGAGTAAGTATAGTTTAAAACACGTTAAAAACTATACCAAGTGCTAATCCAAGACTGGCCTTTGAGCATCTAGGTCAAATTATTTAACGAAGCTATTATAGGTACATATGCTGAAGCCGATTCGTCTGTGAGCTAAAGCACACTTAAACTGAGATACAATCGAATCGAGATAGCGTACTCTATATACAATATAAAGGACAGGTATTATAAAATATAGAAAAATGCGATTTTCTCCGCAATAATTATGCGAGTTCAACAGAGTGACGTGTCACCGATACAAGTTGCAGAGCTGAAAGTTTTCCCGAAGTGTATTCATATAAGCGGATCGAAAAATAAAGACTGCAAAAATGGCGTCCAATCGTGATCGATGTTATATCGCATCCGGCGCGGAAACAATATAGGCAGGTGTTGCAGTCGCGCTCGGAGGAGTATAGTTTTTCTCGCTTCCGATTCGGACTTCCGGTGAAGGCGCCGGGCTCGTCTTCGATTCACACGGTTCGACAATCATAATAATATAACGTTTCTCGCGACAGACGGACGACGTGCGAAGATCTCGTGTCCTTAAAATCGTCGACTTGGTAGTATAATATAGACGACGGACAATATAATCACAACAATTAATCATGCGCGACTTTTGGCAAAGGCGCATGTGAAATCCCATCCGGCCGATTAATCGACGTTATTTATATATATATACCGTCCCTGCGATTTGTTTCCGTCCACTGGTTTAGCTGAGTTAGGCTGCGGCGGCGTCGGCTTTTCGCGAGCCCTCACCTCCACCCTGCCCGGAAGTTGTTCCGCACCGGAAGTCCGTTAGCGGTGTCGGCGTATAGTATACAAAGGGCTGGCAATTAAAACGGATTAAAAAGCGATGGCGATCGAGTGCGAGCGGCATTTATATCGACGGTTTAGAGCCGCACGGGACAAACGACACGACTTGCCCAAGCCTGTGGTTTTCCGCCCCGTGATCGCCAGATGTTCTAAAAGTCCACGCTAAAAATTAAGTACCGTTACTACTATATCTGGCCTAGGAGTTTCGACTTGAGACGCTAATTTAGTGTCTCGTAAAATAATATATTACGTTGTGCGTACGCTGGGCAGCTTTGCAATTGTTTGCGCTGCAGAAGTCCAGTGTTGTGCTTAGATTAAAAAAAAATTACCTAGATATGGATAACTGTGCTGAACCCGATTACTGGTTTAGGAGATATTATAATACGGCATATGTGTGATGTCTTACAGTAGACACAATAAAAATGGTATAATATATTTATTAATATAATTATTTATTGGAGTTTTGAACTCTTCGGTTGTGGACGTACATAATTTTGACCAACCAATTAAACGATATTAATAATATCAAGGTCAACAAGAAAACTAAAACGCTCTGTGAAATTAAACAGCGAAACATCTATACTACCTATCGAGTGTCACAAAAAAAAATTTCGTATTGTAGAGAAATTCGTTGAATAGAATATTAAATTCAGTATAGTTCATACAGTTGACCTGATAGGTAGTGTTGTGTATTGTAGTGTTTTTGTGCTCCTTTATCTTCTTTTCTATTATCGCAAACCAGCTTATACTTCTTTTCGGTGCGTTATCTATAGTTATAATTTTACTACCGTAATCTCGTTCACGTTATTCACTATCATGGCAGACCAATTAAATGAAATTTTGGAATCATTAAAGGAGATCAAATCTACACAAACTAAATTGGTTAATGCTGTTAATGATCAAAGCAGAACCTTAAAAAGTTTTAATAAACGTTTTGACGATCTTAATGAAAAGCTTGAAAAATTATCTAACGATAATATTGAGATGAACAATCGTGTCTCGGATCTTGAAAATAAATTTAAAACTTTACATCAATCTAATTTAACTACTCATAATAACTCTGATCATGATATTATTAATGAAATCCTTGACAGACAATCTAGAGCAAATAATATTTTATTGTTCAACTTTCCAGAAAAATTATCGGAATCTACATCTCTAGATACTGATTCCGATCGGTTAAAGATAATATTCAGCAAACTTAATCTCAAATTTGAACCTATTAAATTACACCGCCTAGGTATTAAATCTAAGTATGATCGCCCGTTAAAGATCACATTATCAGATCCAAAACAAACATTTGATGTTCTTCGGACTCAGTCTACTCTTCGTACTTTACCCGAATTCAAAGATCTTCGATTCTCATCTGACCGTACATTTAAACAACGAGAAACTATGGCTAAATTACGACAAGAACTAGTTCAACGGCGTGAAAAAGGTGAAAATGACATTATTATTAAATATGTTAGAGGCAATCCTACCATTATCAAATCAAAAAACATATAAGTTATGCACCGCTCAAAAATAATCTTATTAATAACTCTCAGTTAGATGTACATATTTATTATCAAAATGCTCGAAGTCTAAACAACAAAATCTCTCATTTAAAATCTCAAATACCAAACTCACTTTACGATATATTTATCATAACTGAAACATGGCTCACGGACACTATCGACTCATCTGAACTGGGTTTTCATGGTTACGAAGTATATAGACATGACAGAAATAATTATACCAGTTCACTATCCAGAGGAGGTGGGGTTCTTATCGCAGTCCGCAGTTCGTTCATTTCTAATCGCATTATAATCCATAATAATAAAATTGAACTTTTGTTTGTTAAAATAACTCTTCCTTCCCATACCCTTATTATCAGTTCAGTTTATATACCTAACCGTTCTAATATTGATGTGTACAATGAATATTTTGATTTTGTTGAAAAAATCTTAGTTAAATTCCCTAAAGCTGATTTCTTATTATTAGGTGATTACAATCTACCTTCTTCGATTGTTTGTAATGCTGAGTTATATTTTAATGATAAATTATCGTATTTAAATTTTTTTCAGTATAACCATATTTGTAATGTGAAAAATGTTATTCTTGATTATGTTATATCTAATTCACTTAATATAAATGTCATATTAGACAACTGTCCTATTATTCCCGTTGACCTCTATCACCCTCCTCTTAGTATTGTTTATAATCTTAAAAAATGTTGTAATTTAAAATTTGATGATTTTGTATTTAATTGGAATTCAGGTGATTATCTTTCTATTATATCTTATCTAGGTTCCATTAATTGGTCTACCTTTTTTAATTCTAATTCTAATATCAATGAAAACTTAGATACGTTCTACTATCATATCGATTATGCAATAAATAATTATATCCCTAAAAGCCGTAGATATAAATTATGTTTCCCAATTTGGTTTAGTAATGAATTGATAACAAAAATTAAAGAAAAAAAAAAAGCTCATTCCACTTTTAAGATTTTAAAAACCACCGTTTCATATACTTATTTTTCTGATATCCGTAAAGAATGTAATTATCTAAGATACCGGGACTATAAAATCTTTATTAATAAGACACAACATTCAGTTAAACTGAACCCAAAATCATTTTGGAATTTTTATCGATTACAGAAATCTATTAATCAATTACCCTCTTTTGTGTCATATAATGAGAAGGAGGCTAATACTGGTACTGATATTGTTAACCTATTTAGAGAACACTTTTCAAATGTTTATAAAAAAAGCACTTCAAATAATTCAGAAAAATTTATTTTTGATAATTCTTCACTTAATCTTAACTCAATCAATATCTCCAAAATGGAAGTTTTTAACGAACTTTGGTCTATTAAGATAAATTTATCTAGTGGTCCCGATAATATTTCAGCTAGATTTTTTAAAGAAACCTCATTTATTTTATCAGATATTATAACTTTTTTATTTAATAAATCGCTTCAAACAGGTGTATTCCCAGATAAATGGAAAACTTCTTATGTAACACCAATCTTTAAAAAAGGTGACAGATCTCAAGTTTCAAATTACCGACCAATTTCTAAAAATTCAATTCTACCTAAATTATTTTCGAAACTTGTTAATAAAAAGATATTTCCCCTTTGCGAAAAAATTATTTGCAATGAACAACACGGTTTTCGACCAAAACGTTCATCTGTAACCAATTTATGTGTTTTCAAACAAACTATCTTAAACGCTTTTAATGATAAAGCTCAGTTAGATGTTGTGTACACAGACTTTGAAAAAGCGTTTGATAGAGTCGATCATCAATTATTAATAAAAAAATTAGAATCAGTCGGTTTTATTAATCCATTGCTCTCTTGGGTAAATTCTTTTTTAACTGATCGTACACAAATTGTTAAATATGAAAATTTCACTTCTAATATAATTAAGGTTGTATCTGGTCTCCCCCAAGGAGATCATTTATCACCATTACTATTTTCTCTCTTCATAAATGACATTGTTAAGGTTTTAAAACATTCGGATTGCTTACTACTTGCTGATGACACTAAGCTTTTCAAAATAATTAATTGTATTGATGATTCTAACAACTTTCAAATTGATTTAGATAACTTTTATAAATGGTGCCACGAGAATGGTATGACATTGAACATTAATAAATGCTCCACTGTTTCATATTCATTAAAAAAATCCACTTTATATTTTGATTACTCCTTGAATAAACTTAGCTTAACCCATGATGATACTACCAAAGACTTAGGTGTGATTTTTGATTCAAAACTGTCTTTTAATAAGCATATTGATTACGTTCGTAATAAATCATTTATGAAATTAGGTCTTCTAAAACGCATTTGTATAGATTTCTACGATAGCTCAGCATTAAAAACTTTATATTTTTCTTTAGTCAGATCTCAAATAGAATATGCTTCATTAATATGGCACACCGATAATATAGGTCAAAATACCAGCCTTTCCTCAATTCAAAATAATTTTTTAAGATATCTGTCATATAAATGTAATGTGGAAAGATCCCCTCATTCGGGATATAATATAATCAGTAATTTTTTTAGAATTGATTCTTTAAAAAATAGATACCTTACATTAAATTTAAGATTCCTGTTTAAATTATTGCATAATATGATCGATTGTCCAGAACTTCTTGGAGAATTAAACTTTAAGGTAAATACAATTAACTCTAGAATTAAACATACATTTTATCTGTCAAATTTTAAAACTAAATATATGTCACACAGTCCTGCTAACATTTTAATGTCTGCGGGTAACACTGCAATACATTTTGATTTATTTCCTTAAGTACTCTCGATAAGCATTTTCTTGTATTTCATTATTATTGTTATTTAAATAATTACTTTCTAAACTACTTATAACTTTTTGATTATTATTATTTTTATTTTGTTATTATTGTTATTGGAATTTATTCCGTAATAAAGAAATTATTATTATTAACTTGGTTTGGATCTCGAAAATATTTCAATAAACAGAAAATTGTTTTAAATGGAAGTTTCACTGTATTATAATTGAAAACTGAAGTGCACTTGCACTGCTATAATTATACTTAAAGATATGTTAAAATTCGGAATTTTTTTTTTGTCTTGTATCATACCTTATAGAAACTTGTAGTATCTTAGACTTTCGGAAATTGAACACAGGTTATAAAACGATAGTACATTTTTAAATGACTTCATAATTTATACCTAAATTTTAAAAACCACAATAACACAAGAATTATTTTAGAGTAAATTAGATCTTAACCCTCTACAGGCAAGGCCCGGTCACGGGTGACCGGACTAAGATAAGACATTAATAACTAGATTATAACATTAAATACTATGCACCGGATTATCCCATACCCTTTTATAGATAAGCCCACCGTTTGCCTGATATATTTTTGTTTATCTGTTATACCTCAGTAAGCTTCCAGCTGTCGAATAAGTTAAATCGTTCTTGTCGTCGGTCACGGACGACCACGCTTGTCTATCACGTAAGTTTTTTTTAACCTATTCTGTTTTCTATTTCTGTTTGGTATTTTTGTAATATTTGTATTTTTTTTTGTATTCAGCATGGACACACTTCTAAAAAGTGTCGATGACATTACAGCAGAGCTTTACCGACAGTTGGATGAAGATGATTTATCCGATGCCGATGATTCGTCGAGTGAAACAGAAGATCATGTTTTAGAAAACGATAACGTCATAGCAGACGACTTTCAATTATCGTCTGACGAAGAGTATGATGAAGAAATAGAGGCAGATCGTGAGTTTTTTTTATACCCTGGTATACCCTGGTATACCTATTTTAGTGAATTCTAAATAATTTAAATTTAAAACGATGTAGTTAAAATTCACATATAATATATCATATTCTTCAATATCAATTCTAATAATATTAACTAATTTTAATTTTTTTATATAACCTGTAAAACTAATGCTATAACATGACCTTTTATGATAAACAGTTCCTTAGTTTAAATAACTTAAGTATGCAATACAAGCCAATAATGGTCCTGTAATGGTGGATTAGACATTTATGAAGAAAAAATAATTTTAACAATTCCTCTTGTAATACAATTGTATACCACTGTATACCAAACTCAGAACTCTCTTCTCTAATAATATAATCGAATACGGCACACAATGTAAGACTAATATAATAATATGTTGGACCAGTGACACATATTTTTGTGATAAACTACGAAACGTAATCAACTCACTAAGCAAAAAACGGATTGAATTAAAAAAATTGCTAAAGGCTCTGCTTATTATTACCCATAAGATTGCCAATCGGCGATAAGCCATTAACAGTATTGTTCGAACATTGGTTCGCAGGTGTCCTTTTATTCATTATTAAAATCGGTCTAATGGTTCTTTTCTTTTTCGAGTGTACAGAATAATAATTCATAAATAATATTTATCCGACGTTTATCCGACGAGTATGATATAACCGAACGAGACGCGCGAGATTACTCTTCGAGTTAAGTCGTTGGGTGTAATTCGTCGGTTTTATTTTTATTGTTCGTCCACCGTAAATCGACAATGGACATTAGGAGCGTACTATTATTATACCACACGAGATTACCTATATGCAGGCACAATGTATTATAAATTGTAGACCTATCAACACTGCGATAGTGTTGTAATATATTAATTGCAAAATTGTCAGTGGTTTTATGATTACCTATTTCCAATTTGTATCCTCACGATAATACTTATCGCTATTAGGAAATATTTTTATTTTAACGTGCACCTTTATGCTATTGTTGTCATAGATAATGTTATATACCTACATGGATGGGACATACCGTTATGTATTTGAGTGTGATCGAAAAACAAACTAGTTACCAAAATTGTTACATGTAATCAAGGAGTGGTATCACAAAAACTGCGTTGTGTATAAAACCATAATACGTAAGTACATTACATTGTAATTTTTAATAACAAATTAAAAACACTGAAAAACAATAGGTAATTACAATGATCAATAATAATAATAATAAAACAACTATAT